CAAAGCAGCGTTGACGCTCGCTAAGACAGGATGAAAGTTATATAAAATAAAAATATCTCCACAGCAACCGTTGCCATTGCCAAGGCGGCGAGGAGCAGCAGACCTTGAAAGCGAAAGCAGTCGATAAATAAAAGCAAAAAATTGCTTTCGTATTTACCTACGTACATTAGGGTGCATTACCATACATACAAAAAATTTTGCTTTTTTTTAATATCGGAAGACTACATAAATCCGAAAAATACTAATATTTACGAAACATGGACCGATTTAGAAAGAAAAGAAAGAAATTTTTTAATTTTTTTTCCAAAAATTTTTTTCAAAAAATATCATCAAAACAATGAAGATATTAAGTTTAAAAAGTATGCGTAGCGCTGCAAAACTCAAGTTTTCCTAAATTAAATTAATTTTGAAAAATATTTTTTTTCCATACAATAACATTAAGTTAAGATTAAAAGAATGCATAATGCTGTTTAAAGGTTTTATCAACGGCATCCGATTAATCAAATTTTTTGGGGTATTTTCCAATCGGTCTAGTTTATCCAAAATATTTTGCCGGAAGTCTTAAAAAGTAATAAGTTTTATAAATCGTGTGAAAAACCCGAAAACTTTTTCTAGTGAGGCACTCTAATGTTCATAATTGAAAGTCAGCTTAACATTTTTCGCAGGTGTTTGTTCTACCACCAGCGGCCTTATTCATACCCAACGTCCACTGTTTGCGCTTTCACTGTACACAACTGACGCCAGCAAGTAGCATACGGCCGTGGCTGTTCCAAAAAAAAATAAGGGAAAACCTAAAAATTTATATATGTAGTTTCATAACTGCATACTATGTAGCGTATCTAAAACACGAAAATTTGCCATACAAATTACAATGTGTCGAATGAAAACCAAATCAATCTAAATTCTCTTCTTACTTGTTTTATAAAAGACATTTTGGGTAATGGGAAATAATTTCCCTAATTTTTTTTTAATTACTTAAATCTTAATTTTTACGCCATATTTTTATACCTTTACTTAATTTATGTATTCTTTTTTTTTTTGGTTTTTCTTCCAAAATGCGTCACCTTCATAGAAGCATATACATATGTATGTTTTTGTAATTTTTGAGTTTGAGGAAAGTAAGATGATGATAATTAAGCAAATTCAACATTCAACCAAAGCACGAAAATAAGAAGAAAATTTAGATTACCATGAAAAAATACAAAGTTATGCATGTGTGTATGTATGTATGTAGAAAATAGTGAATAAAATGATTTTTAGCACAATCGCAGTTGCTGTACGAAATGCTGTGTTAGACGAGTTACATTTGTGTTGTTCACAGTTAGGTGTTTTGTTTCCGTGCCAATGCCGTGAACATTTAAAATTTTGGTGTTTGGTTTTTTTTCAACAACAATCAATTCTATTTTGTGGCGTTGTTATTGTGTGGTGTAGGCTGCTGGGTGTATTGCATTGATGGGTTTCATGAACAGGTAAGCTAACAACAGACACACTTTGAGGCTACGAATGTTATGATTCCTTAAAGTTTTAAACAACAAAAAAAAACGATAACACAAACTCTTCATTCCCCTAAATAACTAAAATAAGCGAAATTTTTTCAACTGAATTTCGCTTCGTATATTGAAAAATAAGGAGAATGAAAAAAGTTCAAGAAGTTGAAAGCAAAAATTCTACTATTTTTTATCTAAAAATCCCAAGTAGTCTAAGAATAGCAGATAATAAATATTGATTAAAAATGTTTGTGAAAAAAGAAACGAAAGGCTTTTTAAAACTGCATCATAACTTTACTTATATAAACCAACTGGCTGAGCAACTTCAATGCTTTTTAAATTATTGCCTCCTAGCGTTCCTTCATTACTGCAAGCTTCCTAGAATAGCTTTTATAGTTATAAGTCTGACAAAATCTCTGCATTGGAAAAGTGAGGCCAAAAATAAGCAATACTTAAGTTGTAGAAATAGACGACAATACGATTGCTTAGTTCAGGGCTAGATGGAATGGGTTAATCGCTTGCAAAACTGCAAAAATTATGTGTGAGAACGGAAACGAAAGGAAGACTGCAGACTTATTACCGCATTGCTTACGGGGCATATCCTGATGGCTGCTCATGTACTAAAAATGGGTATTACTAGCGTGGACAGGTGTCGTGAGCGGGAGACCAAGGAAACCTTTGAGCATCTTCTCTGTCGACATCCTGCACTGTCGATGTCGTCACCTCAAACCAAAACCGTAGAAATCACAGTTTCGTTTATAAAAAATTTAGAAAAATTCAACAAATTCTCATCAAAATTTAAACTTTTTATTCTGAATTTATAAAAAAAAATTGGCTGTGCAGTTTTATAGCCCATTTTAGTCTGATGAAGGCCAAGTTTAAAACGGCTAAAAACAGTTACAACTTTTATTAAAAAATCGCTGTTTAACATTTATTTTTTGACTTTACTTAAATAACACTTACTTCTGTTTTTTCATTTAATAAACCCAAAATAACAATAATTTTTGATTTGTATCTTAACAATTTACAAATAACAGTTATTTTCGATTTTTATACCCGAGCGCACTTGTGCACAAGGGTATATTAATTTTGTTCACATAACGGTTGTTTGTAACAGCCAAAACGAATCGAGATAGATATAGACAAATGTATACATAAATGATCAGGATGAAAAAAGAAATCGATTAAGCCATGTCTGTCTGTCCGTCCGTCTGTCCGTCTGTCCGTCTGTCCGTCTGTCCGTGTACACGATAACTCGAGCAAAAATTGAGATATCTCAACGAAATTTGGTATGTAGGTTTCCCTTAATCCAAGGTAGGTTGGTATTGAAAATGGGCGAAATCGGACTGTAACCACGCCCACTTCCCATATAACGGTAATTTCCAGAAATACGAAAACTGCGATATTTTAGTAACTACTGAAGATAAATCACTCAAAATTGGTATTTACAATAATTTTTTGACAAAAAATAAGAATATTATACATTTTTGGAAAATGGGCGTAGCCACGCCCACTTATGGTTACATGTGTATATCTTGGTAACCGCTGTACCAATTTCTACCAAACTTGGCACAGTTGTCGGCCTTCGTACAGCATACAAAATCGCCTAAAATTTTTAAAATCGGACGATAACCACGCCCACATCCCATATAACGGTAATTTAGAGAAATACAAAATCTTCGATAAATCAGTAAATATTGAAGCTAATTTATTCAAAATTGATGCTTGCAACAATTCTTTACCAAGAAATACGTTTGTGATAAATTTTTGGAAAATGGGCGTGGCACCGCCCACTTATGATCACATATATGTATCTCAGTAACCGTTCTACCAATTTGTACCAAACTCGGTGTGGTTATTGTGCTTGCCACATATAAGCAAACCGTTGAAAATTATTGAAATCGGACTAAAATAACGGCCGCTTCTCATATAACGGTAAATTTCAGAACTGCTTGAAACTTCAAAATTTCGAAATCTAAGGACTCTAATTTACTCAAAATTGATACGCCCCGGCTTACCATATAGCCGTAGCTTTCGGTAAGGCGAAAAACATATATTTAATACGTGCGCCGGGTATTTAATGTTCGGCTCTGCCCGAACTTAGGCTTTCTTACTTGTTTAATTAATAAATGGCTTAAAAAACAGTTATTGAACACTTTTGTTAATAAAAGACACACATAAAATTCAGTCAGTGACTTTATTTTTTAAATCATACTTATAAAAGTCATTTGTAAAAGTCGTTGTAAATTTTCTTCATTACTGCGAAAAATTATAATGACTTTTATAAGTATGACTTAAAAATAATAGTCGCTGATCGATTTATGTTGATGACTTTTATAAATAAAAGTCTTTGATAACTGTTATCTACGACATATACTATAAAAATCAAACTAATTGTTATTTGCAGATTATTTAGACAAAAATCAAAAATAATTGTTATTTTGGATTTATAAAATAAAAACCAAAAATGACTGTTTTTTTTAATTTTGCATAAAATTACAAATAAAAATTTATTTTCAAATTTGATTCTCGGCGAAAAAAGAAATCGATTGATATAAATCACTTAGTTGTAGAAACATTTCGTTCATAGCGAATTTTTCTATGACAGTTTTCATCAATAACTGTTGTGTTCGGTCCCTGGTAGGGAGTATAGTAATACCGCTTTTATAAAAATAAAATAAGTAAGTTAACAAAACCCGTGAACTGCACAAAGATTATTCTGATAACTTTGACTGCAAGTCGGCATGGATTGCCGTGGTCGGAATTGCATAAAATTTTATTTGTACAGTTTTTAAGTCAAAACCAATAAAATGAGGGGATAAGCGGTAGAAAAAAACAACTTTGGGTTTATGGGACAAATTGAGTGCAATCATTTCTGAATACCAGTAAATTTAAATAGAACTCAGTGTTTTACATATCTCTTCGACTTTCTGTACTGAATACTTTTAATCGATCCTGACTACTGAGTAGTTTCGAGTACTTTTAAGTTCTGAGTACTTTTTAGTTCTTCTCTACACAAAAAAAAAAGACGTAAAAACAGTAAAACATAAACTAGTAACAAAAGTCGCAGCAACAACAAAAGGAAACATTAGCTTTTTCTTTGACTTAAGTAGAGCAAACACTAGCACAACAAAACTATGTAGACTCATAGGTAGAGAACAAGAGACCAAAATGGCAATAAAAAATAAATAAATAAAAAATATTTTTAAATGCAAAGGTACAGCGCACAAATATTTGTTTTTTTTTTGCAAAACAAATCAACAAAATGGTGAAATGTAAAATTTCCACAACTAACGAAAATTAAATAAGTAGATTTGAAAAAATTTCGTAATCCATACCAACTATAAGCAATTAATTCAATAATTAAGAAGAACCAAAAAAAATGTCTAAAGGAAAGTGTTAGAAATGCATACGCAAATAGTTGAAAAAATATTACGTTCCAAACTAAATTTTCTAATCTTAGTTAAAAAGAAATTAAAGTAAACTAATTGAAAACTTCTTTTGTGTTCTTAATTAAACAAAGGTACTTTTGGGCTTATTGTGTACCATTTTAACTTCAGACAGCGAGCTGATCGATAGCACATACATGGTGACTCCGACTTCGACGGGAGGTCCTGAAACATGAATATGTTTTGAATCAATTTAAAAAAGGCAGAGAAAATTATAAAAAAAAAAACAATAAATAAAAAAAATGCCCAAGGACAAATGAAAGTTAGTATAGATGAAAAATCAGATCAGAGGAAATAAATCGGCAATTCTTCGAAAATGAGGGGAAAATAAATGAAAAATGTAGTTATATATTAACTTTTAGTAGATATTTTTTAAAATGCAAAAAATAATTATCCATATCTTTAAGATGATTTTAATTAATTATGTATGTGTGCAATGGCATAATTGGTTATTCGTGTTCTTTTTTTTTGAGTATGGAGAAAATGTTTCTTTTTTTTTCATTGGTTTTTGTGTGGGTATGTGTTCCTTGTATATTATAGTTGAATATGTATTTGTCACTGGTCTATGATTAGTATTTAAGTTTGGGAAAGTGAAAGTGAGTTAAAGAGTTGCATGTATAGTAAATGTTTTATGTATGTATGAGTAAGAGAAAATCTATAAAAGCTTATTATTTCATTTAGCAAGGATGAAAATATGTAAGCATTCTATATAAAAAATATATATATGTATGTAAATTTATTTGTTATTTAAAATGAGTTATAATAGAACTACTAAATGCAGAGTAGAAGTTATGTATTTGGGATTTGAAAATGTCGTTTAACCACAAGTTAATTGAGTATGTATGTATGTACCTATTTGAAATCAATGATTTACTATATCAAATGAATAATTTTCTATACTCTTAGTGAACTGTTGGAAAAGTAAATATTTGGCTTTCACCAAATCTGCACAGTCACTTCCTAAATGCCTACTTTTTAATATATTTTTTTGCATTTTTTTTTTCGAATTATCACCGCATTTTCAAGATTGCAACAATTTAGTTTGGTTTTCTATTTTTTTTTAATATTATTTTTTTTTGAACTTTGAACTATTTTCTTAAGACTCTTGCAAACATGAAACTCACCTCCATAGTTAGGTCTTACTCTTTTGTCGTAGCTAACACTAAATGAATCGAGAATAGCGGATATGTTAACATCACCCAACATGCTGCCACCACCAGTCCTGAAAGTGAGAGAAGAAATTATTTAATTAAACAAATAGTTAGTACCAGGTTGGCCGAGCTTTGCCCGGAGTGCATATACTTTTTAAAGTTTAAGATATAACCCTATTTTCTTTTTTTTTTAAATCAAGTAATAGTTATAGATCGCGCAAGGGGTTCAAAAAAATTACGATCGAAACTATATAAGAACCAAACCCTGTGGAACCTTCCCTAAAGGAAAAAAATGCGAGAAATACTTTCGGAAATATTTCTATGAAAACACAGTGGGAACAAAAGTGTAAGGAACTTTCTCCAGAAGATCAGTTTGTGAACTAGAAGAACAATAGAAAACAAAACGGAAACAAATCTTCACTGCACACGGATTCGTGAACAACATTTTTCTTATAACGTTCCATTAGTTCGAAGTGTTTGAATATTAAAATTAATCCAAAAAAATGAAACATAACTATGCAAATACTGTCAGCGAGAGACCAAAGACACGCGCTTTTCTTGCACAGAAAATCAAAAATTGTTCCATAAACGGAAGTTATAATTATCCAACTTTTTTCTGGCTTAAAATTAACATTCATTAACGAAAAGTTCTCAAAGCATTTGTTCTCGTCTTGTTCTCTAGCAGAACGTTCCTGAGGATTTATTTCTTATTTGACCCTCGCTGAAAACATTCTCAATACTTTGGTTCCTATAGTGTTCTCATTGGAAATGCTGCCGAAAGTTTCGTTCTCACTCTGTTCTTCATGGAAACGATCCCGAGAGTTTTGTTCCCGTTTGGCCCTTTTGTGAAAACGTCCTTGACATTAAATTGTGTCCCTGTTTTTAAGTTTCTTAAGTTCTGGCAGTCAAAAGTTATTACTTCAGATCGATATTTAGTCTATTTATGTGCCGATTTCTAATGCTTTTTTCATATTTCCTAACTTTAAACTAAACACTCGCAAATGAGTTTGAAAATTTAAACTTTCCGCCACAAAAGCGCTTTCATAAAACATAAATAACCCAAAAATGCTTATCAGGCAAAACACTCATTCATTTCATTTATTGCATTTTTCCAATTACGAAAGTTTTACTTTCAAGCCTTTCTCACTGCTCCCACACCCTACGCCGCACAGCCGCGCGCTAACAGAACGAGTGCTTAAATAGACAAAACTTCAATGGCAAATAAAAAGTTCATTAGCGCGCATTACTCATACGCAGAGTGTAGTGTATGCAAAGAGCCTTAGACGCGCATAACTACTTGAATGCACAAAAGTTTTACACTTTAAATGCCAACAAATGGCAACAAAAAAAACAAAAAAACAAAGGAAAAAAAATGTGGCCTCTAACGAAGTACAAATTTCTAGCAAATGGCAAGAAAAGGGCAATAATGTCAATATACATACATACATACATAAAGCGAAATTACGAAAACTGACAGTGGAAAGCAAAATGCAAACGCAGATAAAAACTTTTAAATTAAATTTTGTTTCAAGAAACAAAAGTGGAAAAATATTCACAAGGACTTTGCGCTCACACACGCATATGTATGTACACACAAATATATATGTATATATGGAGATATGTATAAATCTATCCAGGCATTCAGCAAAAAACAAAGGCAATGGTGTTGCTGTTTAGAATAGAAATTAAAGAGAGACAGTGCTGCGGTAGAGAGACGAAATAAATATTTAGCAACAAAGCGGCCGTGATTAAATTGAGCCCCGGCTTCAAAGCTGCCATACGTAATTTTTTTTTGCTCGTGCGAGAGGTTAAATGCCAATGCAAAGGACAACGTCTAACACAAAAGCTAAAGCACAAAAAAAAAACACCGAAATCAAACAATGCTGGCAAATCCAAAGCACAGACAGAGAGCAAGCTAAAAACGGTATAACAAATTAACAGCTGGCTGCAGCTGAGTAGAATTCCTGCAGCAACATTAGCAAAGGAATTTTTTTTATTAACAACCACAGCCCCTCATCGCCTCCTCATCCACTCGTCATTCACTCTCTACGCTAAGCATACCTACCGCAAGCAAATATGTTATGCTGGTCATTTTCGGGTGTAGAAAACAGTTCAAAGCATAACAGCGCTTACAAAGCACAATCGCCCGAATATTGCGAGGGAACACGAAGAGTAGATTTACTTTTTATTTAGGCGAGTAGCTTTGAATGCGGGCTGCTTCATTATTTAGGGTGGTGGTGGTGCGAAAGCTTACCACAGGCAGCTTTTTGCAAAAAGAAAAATGGAAAGTAGTAATATTTTATGCCTAAGAGAAAGCAAAGAGAACAGAGTTATGCCGAAAGAGAATTTGTTTAAGGATTTTTAAACTTAATGGCACACTCAACGATGAGAGATATGATTTTCAATATATGTACATATAGAAAATATGCGAACACTGTAAGTCTATACAAGCCTTAATTTTTTACTCCACAAATCAAAATAAATTTTTATGCACAACAAAAAAAAAAAAAAGCAACATAAAACAGGCTACGTGTGAGCGATTTCAGAGAGACTGAGTGAAAAGTGCTGCTCTCCAGCGTTTATCATCCGTGCACGAATACACGCCCAGTTCAGTTAGTTCAACCGAGTTCAATCTTACGAGTTATATTTAAGGTCTGTTGAGCATTTTGTGCATTTTTCTACGGTCTTTCTTTGAACACCTTGACTTTTTGTGTAATAGCATTTATATGTATGCATGAATATATAGCTCTTGGCGTAGATAATTCTTATGTACTTCAGCTATTTTTACTAACAAGTTAATTTGATATGTAGGACATCTTACTTAAATGGTATTTTGTGAAAAATTTATCTATGCGCTATGCGTAAAAATAATTAAGAGAATTTATGACATTGTAGCCTACAGAATCAGTAATCAGTAATGCATATTTATGTAACTAGGACAATTATTTTCACTTTCTAAAGCGAAGTGAAGGCATGCGAGAAGTATTATATAGATTTTTATACAGCGACTTCCATGTGTACATACTTATATAAATGGGCGCTAAAACGTAGAACTTTCAAGATTACAACCCTGCAAGATCTGTGAGCATAGTACTACAATGATGATGCTATGCTGAATATATCCTTAGGTGGCCCACGAATAAAAGGGAGGAACTAAATAAAGAAGCACCTGTCTAAGCTTCGTATAAACAGTTGTAGTATATATGCTAAGAAGGAAGAAATGGCATACAATTTGGATAGAAGTGAATTGTAGCCATTTTTAAAAACTAAATTAATAAGAAATACAAAGTAATTAAAATTCAAATAAAATTGAATGGAATGAAATGATTGAAATCGAATGGAATAGAATGATATTGAATGAATTGGAATGGAGTGGATTGGAATCTATATATTTCATATGCGAAGGGATTTTTTGTCCAGCTCATCGGATCTACACCGTTCGTTCTATTTTTAAAAATGAGGTGTTAAATTAAAGGACTCCGATTGTAGATGTGCCATAATGTTTTACTTTTTCGAGAAGAGTACCTTCTAAAAAATGAAGTTTAAAATATTTAAAAAGTTAAATCAATTATTACACAAGCCTAATGCGATGAAAATCCAATCGAAATAGTTTTAGAAAGCTTCGTTTCTTTACTTCACTGTAAGAGGGGTGCTACCTGTTTGAAAAATTAAATTCCATTTCAATTAAGGGAATTAGGTAATAGAAATAAATATACCCATATGGGCGCCAGACGAAAAGACTTTAAAAGGTAAAAGTTTATTAATATTTTGAACAGGGTTGGCGCTCGTTTGAAAGGCGAATCCAGTCAACTTATATGCAAGGAAATATTAAAATATGTCAAACAAAATAGGTTTTAAGAAATCTTTAGTTTTTACATTAAGAGTATTTTTGAGGTGTTTGAAAAGGGTTGCCACCCGTTTAAAATTTAAATTCTAATTCTTTAATGACTTTAATGAATTATTAAAGTATTTTTATCACTCCAAACGGGCTTGGCAAGGCTTTATATCTGAACTATATTTAGAGAGTTGCCACATGTAAAAAAAATAAGATTCAACCTAATTCTTCAGTTTAATCGAATATGTATCACGATGTCAGACGAAGGTTATTTAAGAAAGTTTTAGCTTGCAAATATTTTGAAGAGGGTTGCCACCTTTTTGGAAAGTTGAATTTAATTAACTTACTTACTTGTTAAAAGGCTTTATTTCCGACCTTTTATTAGAACGGTTGCCACGTTTTTGAAAAATCAAATACAACTTAATTCATAATTTTATTGATATATAAAATACAATGTTAGACGAAAGAGATGTAACAAGATTTTAGTTTGACAATGATTTCTATCCAAGATTTAAGGAATATTAAAATATGAGTGTCAAGGTCATAAGATTTGCACCGTTCTTTCGAATTTCAAATATGAGAGGTCGAAGTAAAGACTGTATCAGGCTGTAGATAGGCGATAAGATTTTAATTATAAACCAGAGCGCACTTGTGCACAAGGGTATTATAACTTTGTTCACATAACAGTTGTTGGTAACAGGCAAAACGAATCGAGATAGATATACATAGACAAAGGTATACGTAGATGATAAGAATGAAGAGAGAAATCGATTAAGTGGTGACTGTCCGTCCGTCCGCCTGTGCACACGATAGCTCGAGTAAAAATTGCGATATCTTAACGAAATTTGGCACGTACACTTTTCTCTAGTGTAGGACGGATGGTATTGCAAATGGGCAAAATCGGACAATAACCACGCCTACCTCCCATATAACGGTAATTTGGAGAAATACGAAATCTTCGATAAATCAGTAAATATTAAAGCTAATTTATTCAAACTTGATGACTGTAAAAAATTCTTTACCAAGAAATACGTTTATGGTAAAATTTTGGAAAATGGGCGTGGCACCGCCCACTTATGATCACATATATGTATCTCGGTAACCGTTCTACCAATTTGTACCAAACTCGGTATTTTTATTGTGCTTGCCACATGAAAGCAAAACGTTGAAAATTATTGAAATCGGACTAAAATAACGGCCGCTTCTCATATAACGGTAAATTTCAGAAATGCTTGA